TGCATTCAGGTAAATGTAATTGACAACATCTTGAAAATGACAACTCTGGACCTATCAAAGCACCAAGGTAGTCAGGCCATTTGGACAGCAAGTGGTCCTCCAGTGGAAAGACATGAACATGGCTGAGAAACTGTTCATTGCATCTGTCTTCAGACTGAGGCTCATAAGGACAAGAGACATGGAAAAGCCTGGGCTCAAAAGTTGCCTCTGCCACTTATTGAGTGTGTGTCTATGGATAAGTTTTTTGTTAATGTCTCAAAAGCTCAGTTTCCTTACCTATAAAAAGAAATGTAATAGTAGTATTCAATCATAGTATTTATGAAGATTTAAGAGCTCTGGTAGCATAGTGCCTAAGGTGCTTGACTGCTAACCAGAAGGCTGGCAGTTCAAACCCACCAGCCACTCCTCGGAAGGAAGGTCGGGCAATCTACTTTAGTAGTGATACTGCTTCGGAAACCCAAGGAGGGGTTGCTATGAGTCAGGTCCGACTCGATGGCAAACAACAACAACAACATGAAGATTTAATGAAATCATATATGTGAAGAACTTTCCACACTAGCTGGCACTTAGTAATACAGTTTTCCAGGATCAAAAAGAACAGGATGACTCTCCTAATCAGATCTAGGCTCTAATCCTCAGAAATTGAACAAAGTCCTTGTGTGGCACAAATAGTTAGCTATAGAATCCAGCTGCCCTATGACTGTTAACCTGAAGTTTAGTAGTTCAAACTCATCCATTAGTAATGGGGAAGGAAGAAAGGCCATCTCCTTCCATTAAACTAAAGTTTAGTAGTTCTCCTTCCATTAAACTAAAGTTTAGTAGTTCAAACCCATCTATTGGTAATGAGGAAGAAAGGTAATCTGCTTCCATTAATATTACAACCAAGACAACCCTATGGAAAAGTTCCACTCCTGTAGCACATGGGGTATCATGACTCAGAATCTACTAGACAGCAACATGTTTGGATTCTACTTTCACCAATATACCATGGCTTTACATATACCCATCCCAATGCTCAGATCTCAGAATTTTTATCACATCATGAGGGACCTCTGGGACTGGGCTGGGCCTTAAGGCTGAGACTGCGGAAGGAAGGAGCCCCAATGCACTGCACAGTGCCTGATTTTGGATTAATGTCTGGAGGAAGCTGTTTTGGACAATGGATCCTTCTCGGCTTTTCTAGCAGGCTATCAGCATGCAGCCCACAAAACTTAAGATGTTGAAGATCCAAGAAAAATCAAGATTCAAATTCAGAAGGACAACAAATGATGGATTATAACATTATGTATACCTGGGTGAAACAAGTCATTAGATGAGATTAATGGGTTTTGGAATAACGTGGGAGCATCTTTGCTGCTCTGTCATGTTCAGCTATAGATACTGAAGCAGGAATAGAAAAGGGCAGCCCCTCTCCCGAGATTTGCACCACATGGCCTGCCTTCCATTCAGAAGGCTCCACCAGCCCCACTTCCAAGCTGAACACCAGAAGCTTTCATTGCAGCTCAGCCTCATGCCTGGCTCCCTGCTCTACCAAGCTGCCTAATCAGTCTTCTTTGACTGGAAACTCAATATCCCCTGCAGAGAGCCTGCAATCATGCTTTGAAGTTATTTGCATCCAGTCAGAAGAACCTTTTAGTTCTAGTTCTAAATTGAGTGGCTCAGTGGTTTCAATCCCCTGATAAGTACGGCAGCTGGATTCTATAGCAGTCACACTGGGCCACAGTTTTTAGTCACATCAGTGAATTGATGCATAAAACTGACAGCAATGTAAATCTTCTCATGGCTGGTAAGAAACGGAAGTTGCCAGTGCCACTCATTAAAACAGTTATATAATATAAAGAGTTCCATTTTAAGGGAAATGAGATATATATACCTTATCTTTTTTACTGTGTTTGGGGATTTAGCTAAACTCCAAAGAGTAGGTATGAGTCATTTGCTCCAATATATCATGGATATAAGAATGTGGCATTCCACCACTCCTTCCCCAGTGTAACACCATCAGAGAAGTTGGGCCTCTTCCTTCAGCTACTGAGTTACCCATCATCCCCTTGTTCTTTTTTGATATGGCAAAGGCTATGGAGCAAAAGGAGATAAGGGCATCAATTCCAATGTAACCACTTACTACTCACCTTGAGTAAATAGTTGTTGTTGTTGTTGTTATGTGCCATCGAGTCAAACCCGACTCATAGCGACCCCTCCTTGGGTTTCCGAGGCAGTATCACTATGGAAGTAGGGATTCTGCCTCGGAAACCCAAGGAGGGGAGTAAATAGTACCCACCTCAAAAGGGTGGGTAACAACTAAATGAAATATGTGTAAGGTGCCTCTCAATATTGTTACTTCCTTTCTGCCTTCCTACACATCACAACCTAGTGTGGTGCTAGTAACACCTCTTTATTCCTTGGTTTTATATAACTATACTTCATTATCATAGGCAGCAGATTTGGCCCTCTGCATTGCCCAGCAATGCACAGGCCAGCATCAGTATTTATCTCAAGGTGACACTTGTAATGGATGATTGCTGCATTTCTTAATCCATTTATGTAATCCTTCCTGCTTTGCTTGCAGTTATTTTCAGGGCTTTAACAGCAATAAAATGATTCCTTTCCCAAGACAGAGTTCATTCAATTTAAATCTGTATTGATTATAACTAAACTTATGACATGTCTTTAGAAAGGAATAGAGAAAAAACAGTAATAAATTATGCCCAATGATTATTTAGCCTTTATTCAGCTCTCACAGTGTCCTAGGCTCAGCATACAACACTTGGGAATAAATCCTTGTCCTTGAGAATCAAACCATCATTGAAAGGGCCTCACCCACATATACAGTCAGGCAGAGCATCAGTCCAACTGCCCTTTAATCCCTGATTCAAGGGTATCCAGCCATATGATCAGTTTTTGTTTTTTCCTTTCTTGCCATTAATGAAATTAGGTGAATTCCCGGGGTCAATGGACTCCTTGCTGATATTTGTGCCCTCTTTTTTTTTTTTTTTTTAGTTTTGCTCAGATGTATTCTACTGACAGAGTCCTTGATCTTTGAACTCTACCTCAAGAGACCACTCCTTTTTGCTCCTCAAGAAGTTTTGGTTGAAGACTAAGATTCGTACATGGGCTAAAGTCTCCCTGTGGTGGCTTAGCTGGTGCACAGGGGATGTGTACTAAGAAATGGTGATTGGAACTTGTGCAGATAAAATTTTCTCCTAACTGCATTCTTGTGAAAATAAATTCATTTATGTGCTCACCAGTTAGGGGATTTGAATGCCAAATGGATGGATGATTAGAAGGATTTTTAAGAAAACTGATTAAAATATAATTTATGTAAAACTATAATATAAAATTTATTCAAGTCAGTTTATGAGAAGGTCTGGTGCCACTGTGGTTAAAATGTTGTTGTTGTTGTTATGTGCCATCGAGTCGAGTTAGAGCTGACTCATAGAGACCCCTCCTTGGATTTCCAAGGCAATATCACTACAGAAATGGATTGCCCCATCTTCCTTCCGAGGAGTGGCTGGTGGGTTTGAACCTCCAGCCTTCTGGTTAGCAGTCAAGTGCCTTAGGCACTATGCTACTAGAGATAGTCAGCTGCTAATCAGAAGGTGAGTGGTTCAAATCCACCAGGCACTTCAATATATTGGAGCAAAAGGACATTCAGTTTCTAGTCAAAGAAGACTGATTAGGCAGCTTGGTAGAGCAGGGAGCCAGGCATGAGGCTGAGCTGAAATGAAAGCTTCTGGTGTTCAGCTTGGAAGTGGGACTGGTGGAGCCTTCTGAATGGAAGGCAGGCCACGTGGTGCAAATCTTGGGAGAGGGGCTGCCCTTTTCTATTCCTGCTTCAGTCTCTATAGCTGAACATGACAGAGCAGCAAAGATGTGGCAGAGAAAGAGAAAGGAGAAAGATGTGGTGGTATGCTTCTGTAAAGATTTATAGCATTGAAAACCCTTTGGGGAAGTTCTACTCTGTGCTATGGAGCAGCTATGAGTCAGAATTGGCCTGAAGGCAATGGGAATGGGTTTAAGTATTTATGACTTAGACTTGAAAATTTAAAGTGATGTTCTAAATTCATAGAAGTCCCAGTAACCACATCTCTTTGAAAATATATTGAGAGAGTAATGGACCAAAAAAAAAGAAATTTCTGGAAATGTGATGTTTGATCTTTATTTGTTTGTTTTTTATTATTTCTCTTGAAGGAGAAAAAATGGAGTAATAATTAAAAAGAATCAAGATAAATTATAATAACCAGCATCAACTGAGTGCCAGACACATTATAATCAATCTTTTAAGTATTGCTATGAAATGGGTAAAGTTATATTATTTACAATTTGTAGGTGAAAAGGCAGAGTTCAGAGCACTTAGGTAACTTTCCAATGAAAAAGAGGCAGATCCGTGACATAAGGGCAGCTATAGCTTTACTGCAGAGCCCAAGCCCTTGACCACTATGCTCTACTGCCATCTAGGACCCAATGCACAGACATGCACCGCACTCAAAACAACTAAAAATGCCATTTTCTTTAACCTTTTGCTTGACCTTTGAGTTAAAGTTAAGTTAGAACTTTTTTCTTCCCCATATTTATTTGTAAAATTTCATTTCCAGGTAAATAGATTGATTATCCCTAAGATGTCTCCAATATAATTCAAATTATATTATAAAATAACTTAGAATCAAGAATGTATTTAGAAACAAAGAGAGAAAAGCAATGATTTTAGATTGATTACTATTTTTCTTACCTCAGAACATTTTTTTTTTAACATTTGACGAAAGATTCAAGGCAATTTGAGCTGAGATACAGCTTTTATAAATTTTAGTCAATAATTTTTTTTCTTTTTTTGATGGGCAAATAGGATCAGAAGAGAAATTAGATTTTCCAATTTAGATGTTTGTGGTAGTAAATGAGAACACAGGAACAATTTTAATCCCTAGATCCATGATATCTTCACAGACTCTTCCCATCCTATTCCCAAAAGTACATGTCTCTACAGTTGTGTGTTTGTTTGCTTACAGTTGACCTGGACAGACTCAATGATGATGTCAAGAGGTACAGCTGCACTCCCAGGAATTACTCGGTCAATTTAAGAGAGGAGCTGAAGTTGACGAATGTGGTCTTCTTTCCACGTTGCCTCCTTGTGCAGCGCTGTGGAGGAAATTGTGGCTGTGGAACTGTCAACTGGAAGTCCTGCATTTGCAATTCAGGAAAAACTGTGAAAAAATATCATGAGGTATGCCATTCTGAAATGTCTTTGTAGCCATGGTGCATTTAGTCCTTTTTAGCTACATCAGTCATGGAATATAGGATACAAGACCAAGGCAGATTGTTCACCGCACAAGGGCTCCCAACCAGTGGGAAGATTGGGAGCTAAATTTTTACCTGACCTTGCTTGCCAAGCCTAGTGTTTTCAGTTCACCCTGCAAATGGGACTACTCTCTCTTATTCTCACAGTACAACATGTGGGTCACTGTTAGCCTGGCTTGAATATATAATCAATATGTAATACAGTAGTTTCAGAGCTTATTTGGCAGGCTTCTAGAAATATGATGTAATTCATTCACAGGATATGACAGTAAAATCTAGGTTGCTTTAAAAAAAAATGCGAAGAGTCAAACTTTATTTAAATTCAAGCATAAAAAACATGAACACAGTAAAGATAGCTAAATATAAATTGTCAGAATACATAAATTGCCAGAGACTTTTTCATTCTCTGAATATGAACATATTTTTCCTCTAGAAATTCTCATCTTCCCTAAATAGCAGTGAGTGCTACCTGGGGAATCAGCTCTTGAATTATGTAAAAATAAACAATAGTAAATATAAAGATAGTCCAACAAAAATGTACAGAGAATATTAACCTTTAATAATAATAATATAAGCTCAAGGCTGTGGAGTGGGTTCTGAATCATAACGACTCTTCCTTGGGTTTTCAAGGAAGTATCTCTATGGAAGTAGATTGCCCAGTCTTCCTTCCGAGAAGTGCCTGGTAGGTTTGACCCACCACTTATGGTTAGCAGTCAAATACTTAGGCACTACGCCACCACAAACACTAGAGTATTTACTGTGTTCCAGACATGATTGTAAGTACACATGAGCTCACTTAGTGACTTCTCAACTCCCTGTAAGGGAGGTGTTATTTTTATTCTCTTTTCATAAACGAGACAATAAGGCTGAAAGGATTAGTGACTTGACCAGAGTAACATGGCCAGTAATTCACAGAGCCAGAACTTAAACCCCTACCAATTGGTTCTGGAGTATATGCTATTATCACTATTCAAAAACCAAAAAATCCAAACTCACTGCCGTCGAGTCAGATCTGACTCATAGCGACTCATTCTTGGGTTTCCGAGGCAGTATCACTACAGAAATAGATTGCCTAATCTTCCTTCTGAGGAGTGCTGGTGAGTTTGAACCACCACCCTTCTGGTTAGCAGACAAATGCCTTAGGCACTACACCACCAGAACTCATGTTATCACTATTAGTACTACTTTAAAAAAAAAAACCCAAAAAACTCATTGTGATCAAGTGGATTCCACTCATGGCTACCCTATAGAACAGAGTAGAACTACCCCATAGGGTTTCCAAGGCTGTAAATCTTTACAGTAGTAGACTGCCACATCTTTCTCCTGCGACAACTGACCTTTTCCAGATGTTTAACCACTACGTACTATGTACACTAGTACATGCTCTTTTCCTTTTAAATATCTAGTGCTCTACTGAATAGAGATCAAGAGTAGACTGAAGGGGAGTTAGAAGGCCTGACAGTGACTGCAACTCTGTTACGTACTGCTTTTGGAATACATATTACTGAAGTTTAAAGTCTTAGAATGAGAAATTATATCAAATAACCCCTTATGGAGTTGTTCTGAGGATGAAGTAAAAGAATGCATATGAAATGCTCTTTGTAAGTTGTGAAACATGGTATGTTAATATTTTTAAAATGTAAACTAAGATAGGAACTAAATGAGAATTCTTATTTGAGTTGCTTTCTATCAGTATCCAAGAAAATGAAGGATAAGTTTGTTGTTAGTTTATGCCCAGTTGGCTCCCATTCGTGATGATCACATGCACAACAGGATTGGGTCAGTGTAATCCTCGGGGTGTTCATTGGCTGATTTTCAGAAGCAGATCACCAGGCCTTTTTCCTAATCTAGAAGCTTCTCTAAAACCTGTCCAATGTGGCTCACTGCTGGTATATGAAATGCGAGCTCTGGTGGTGTAGTGTTTAAGGCATTTGACTGCTGACCAGAAAGTCTAGCAGTTCAAACCCACCAGCTACTTCTCGGAAGGAAGGTTGGGGAATCTACTTCCATAGTGATACCGCTTCAGAAACCCAAGGAGGGGTCACTATGGGACGGAACGACTTGACGGCAGTGAGTTAGGGTGAGTCATGGCATATATTCCAGTATTGTAGCAGCATGCCAGCCACCACAGTATGACACACTAATAGGCAGCTGATGGAAGGAATAGATAGTTCTTCCTAAAGGAAATCCCTAACTTTGTAAAAGTGCATATTTCCTTTAGCTTAAAAATAATAAAAAATAATTAGGTAGAAGGTAACTTCTGGCCCAAATGAAAATAGTTACATCCTAACTGGTATTTTCAACTTGGGAAATGGAGGAAGTCATAGGCCTGACCATGTTTACCTTAGGATAGGGAAACATTATTTTAGAATAACATAAAACATACTTTTTTTAGTCATGAGAATCATTACTCCACCCACAGTTTTTAAAGGAAAAAAAAATAAAGTGTTCTCATAGCCAGAGAATGCCATTGTCTGTGTTCATTGTGTTTTATTTTGTATGACCTCAAGAACTCTAGTTTGGACGTTGTCCTTTGCTTCTAAAAACTGGAATTTTGTAATGTTTAGACACATCTCAAGGATAAATGTAGAATGCAAAACTAAGGCTGCAGTTAAAATGATCTGGGAAGATAGAGGAAGTGACAATAATAACTGAGGAAGAATAATTTAAATCAGGCCTCTGTTGTTGTTTGCAGAGTACTTTATTGCAGCTTGATTTTCTAACTGCTTATTGTGGAAACAGCAGAGTTAACCAGATACCCGGAAGGACTTTTTCCTCTCTGGCAGTTAACTCTGAAGAGGCTCTGAAGGGCTCAGTCACTCTTCTTCTCATAGTTCCTTTCTCTTCTCCGTACACAACGGCTGCTACCTATACATTTCTGTTCACAATTAATATCTAGAATGGAAAGCCCTTGATCTCTTTATTCTGTCTAAAATGTTGGCATCTTTTGAAACAGTTCTTTAAAGCATTTCTTTAAAACATGTGTCATAGTATTTTTACTTCTAGGACTCTGTAGAGTTCTATGCAAAATCCCTCTGCCAAGTGCTGGATGACGGAATGAAACAGCATCAATCACTCAGTCAGTAACGGCATACCTGGAACAAATACTCCTGTCATATTTTCCCTAGACTTCTAAAATACCCTTGAAATGTGTCACAGCTATCACTACCCTGAGTGCCCTATGGAAAATAGCAGATTGCTTCTTCCATTTCCAGAAATGGGGGTTTCATGAGCTCAAGCTCATTAGGGAAAATTCCTAGCCCTTTATTCTATTAGTTCTGTGTCTGTGTTCTTACCTCAGAGAAATGAGAAACCAGTTTCTCCAGCTCATGGTTGTAGCTGATGAGATGTCAAATGAGTTTCTATGAGAGATGAGCATCCTTAAGGGTGTAACTAGAACTTGTCACACTAATCAGGCCTGTGTGATTTTTCACAGTTATTTCAATGCTTAACATTTAAGGAATAAAATCCAGGAAATTACAGATCCCCTATTAAACTAACATCACTGCTGTTTTCACAGGCCATGCTACTTCTGCTGTAAGGGTTTGAGCATTCTTTGCTGTGTAAAAAATTGTTTCCGTCTTTATGATTTCCTGTCTTCAGAAGTTTCTAGGCACCATGTTAGGTTGTTTTTGTTTCATTTTGTTGTTTTCCTTTTTCCTAACAACCATTCTGTGCCTCTTGGAATAAACAGGTTATAACAAACACTTTTGGTCATGATTTTAAAAAGAGAAGTGTTTAGAAAACATGTATTGTGTTGACAGAGTATACCATTAATTCCATTTCTTCTTCCCTTGATAATGCATACTGAAGGAACAGAATATTCCCTAGAAATATGGTTACTTTTTACATTAATATATACTGTTTTTCATCATTTGACTACCTGCCTATGTTCAATTGGTGAACAGCCAAAAACATGAAGCAGTTGAAAGTGAAAGATAAAAGTTAATTTTCTCTGTCCCTCCTCTCTGATGGAGTGATTGGGAAGTATTTGATTTTGCTAGGATGCTTAATAACTACCAGCACTATTCAAGCAAACTTTCTGCAGTGATAAGAATGTTCCAGGATGGTAGCCACTAGCTATATGTGGTTATTGAGCACTTGAAGTGTGAGTAGCCCAAATGAGGAATAGAATTTTGAATTTGATTTCATTTTATTTTTCATTTAAGTGGAAATAGCTACACACGGCTGTTGTTGTTGTTGTTGTTATGTGCCGTCGAGTCATACCTGACTCATAGCGACCCCTCCTTGGGTTTCCGAGGCAGTATCACTACGGAAGTAGGATTGCCCAACCTTCCTTCCGAGGAGTGGCTGGTAGTCACTGCCATATTGGACAATGGGTCTAGACCTATCTCTGTTTCTTAGGCATTTGTAGCATCTAGAATCATTCCTATCTCCAACAAAACTGAAAAACCAAAGGCTCATAACTGACTTTGGGGGATTCTTTTTTATATTTTAATAGAGAATTTTACATTCAAAAAGCTCTGATAGCCTAGTGCCTAAGGCACTTGACTGCTAACCAGAAGGCTGGCTGTTCAAACCCACCAGCCACTCCCTAGACTGCCTCAGAAACCCAAGGAGGGGTCGCTATGGGTCGGATCTGACTCCACAGAAATGGTTTTATAGTATAAGAGGTCAGATATAAAACTAGTAATGAAATATTTGACATTGACTTCAGATAAAATAATAATACTTTTCATTTTCACATATTTTAAGCAGCTTCCATTGAACAAGCCCAGCTAAAACTGCAAATTGAGACAAAGGAGACAGAAAAACAGTAATTTTTAAGGAGTTTCTACTTTCTGCCAAAAGTCAGTGGTTTTTAACTCATGATTATAATTAACTAAAAAGTCAATGATTTTTTTTCTTCTTTTCTTTTTCTGGGAACAGAGTTTCTGGGGCTTAGAAAGGGACTACCTGCTTTTT